TAACTCAAATAATAGGGGTGGGAGTTAAGAGGTCGACGGTAGGCGATCCTCTCCTCGTCTTCCCTACCACATCTAAGACCACTGTTACCCTCCCTCCTCTCTCTCTTCTTCTCTCTCTCCCACTCCATCCACTGTTATAGAGAGAGAGAGAGAGAGAGAGAACTGGGTTGAGAAAGAGAAAGGGACCACAAGGGAAGGGAGGGAGGTTTGAGTTGGTTATTCTTTCAAGAAGCAGAATCCAAAGCTTCAAGGCTTTTCACACAAAAGATGACCTCCCTTCCCAATAGGAGAGAAAGTTAACAGTAAGAGAATAACCAAAGTAAAACCTCCACCTCAATTTTTTATTCTCCTCCATAAAAGCAGGGATAACATGCGTTACTTTTCAGCAAATTTATAATGGTTTCAACCAGTGATCCAAAAATGGCCAATCCGAATCAAAATTGGCCAAATGGATCAGAACCGGAAATGGACATTCACAGCTGGAAAATCCCCAGAATTGGCCCATTCTACAGGTTTTCTATTTTTTCTTTTTCCTTCTTTTCTGTAGCCAGGTCTGACTAGGAGAATATAAAAACGGACCACAGCTGAGTCGGGCCTGATTATAATTTTTTAAATCGAGTTTCGAGCATGGCTAAGGGAAGCAAATATAGTAAAAACCAAAAGAAACAAACAATACAGCTCCCAATTAAAGAACTGAACAACCAACCACATCTTTGACTGAAGAAACTTTTATCTTTCTAGAGACTATACATTTTTCTTTTACTTAAAACCACTTTCATCCACTTATAACATTAATGTGACTCAAAAAGTCTCAAAAGGAATAACCAAGCCTCACAAGCAGATTCAAATATAACAACAACTTACACCCCACATCTAAAAAACACCCCCATTTGCTCACTTCTACAAATAAGAAAGAAAAGGAAATGGGAAAAGTATTAAACCTCTCGAAATAAACGGTTATGCTTGTTTAGTAGAATCTGTGGTTGCATTGGGATCTGGCTCAGCTTGGCTGGGGACATCCTTGTGCTGGCTACCACGCTGGCACCTACAAGAATCTCGAGGAATTGGGCCGTATCCTCTAACCACCCAGGGATGCTCCACTATGGCATCTAAAGTAAATCTTTGCTTTGGGTCTGTAGCATAACAAAGCAAAAATCAATTTGCGTGAGCGCACGCATGCACATGCTCTCACTAAGAGAGAGAGAGAACAAATCGTGAATGAACTATTTCAAAGAGAACAATACTTGCCTTTGCAGAGCAATCCTTCAAGTAAGTCTTTAAGCTCAGGATCCATATCCTCCGGTAGATGCAATGGATTATTGACAATCTGAACAGATTGTATCAATAAAATGAAAGACGAGAAAAAAAAAGAAGCAAATATGTATAGGCTGCTCATGCTATATTTACATATAAGCCTCAGTAAAACAAAAGCACCAAAATACAAAACACTATTTCCCCAAAATCAGTCATACCCTATCATATGTATCTTGTAAAGTGTCTCCAAGGAAAGGATAGCACCCAAATGTCATACAATACAATGTGACACCAAGAGCCCATACATCAGCAGCTTTGCCATGGTATGTCAAGCCTGTTCATAATAGGTCAGAATAGGAACAGGAATATCAAATATCAATCTGCAGAAGACATTTCTCTCATATAAATAGAGCTGGTCTCTGTGCGTTACCTAAGCAGCATTCGGGTGCAGTAAAGACAGGTGTTCCTGGAGATCTTCTTAGCTCGTCATTGTCATCCTACAAACATGAATGGAAATGAGAGCTGAAACAATGCACCTTTTTGTTTGGTCACATTTCTCAGGACCATTTTTAATGAAAAAAAAGGTTCATCTGTGAGAATTAAGAAAAATGCCAACCGTTATACCATGAATCTTGTCATTCTATAACGTAAATTTATTCTACCAATATTGCTCTGGATTTTTTTTTTTGGGGGGAGATAATTGGCATTATATATACTTATAATTGATGTAATGACCAATTATATATACTTATAATTGATGTAATGATCTTGATGTCACTATGAAATTAATCCTTTAATATCCATACTAACAACTTGTTCCATAACTGGCCTAAGCTTTGTCTAGATACACTTCATAATCACGTCAGCCTCTTCATTTTTAAATCTTGTCAAAACCGCAGCCGCACCTTTGACTCAACCCAACAAAAGAGAACCAATCTCAAGGAGTAATCACACGATAAACGCAAAGACAAACAATCAGGACCATTCTAAGTATGCACAATTGAAAATATAGTTACCATTCTGAAACCTCTAAATGAAATCGATAGAATGTCCATTAGCAGAGAATCAAGAAATATAATCACATTTTCACGTACAGAAATGGCCTGTGAAGCTTAACATTCATGGAAGTAAAAATTCATTTTTTATTGGTTAAAAACAATATTTATAGCAATAAGCCTCATAGATTAAGTAGAATAGCCATATTTTACCTCAAAGATGCGACTAACACTGAAGTCACAAATCTTCACCCTGCCATTACTTGTGACCAAGAGGTTTTCAGGTTTAATGTCCCCATGCACAATATTCTGTCCATCAAAACGACTAGTTAAGGCATGACCAATGCATTTAATTTGATTTAAATATATAAGTATAAGTCACCCACTTGTATTAATAATAAAAAATTTAAATAAACTAATGCTTTTAAATATTTTTATTATTGTACCGAACACATTGGAATTAAAATAATGAAAAATGACAATGCCGTACATCATGATCTTCTTATGACAAAACCGATTGACACAAAGTAATAGGCATTGATGTGTACAACGATGTAACAGCAATCAAGTGCATTGATTTAGGCCTGGTTTGGACAGACCATTAGATATATTTTAGATACTCTGCCCTGCTCGCTTGAAGCAGTAAAGAGGACATTTGGTCCGCTCGAGCTAATCAAGAGTAAGTCCCAAGCCTCTGCCTGCTTTTGCGGAAAGGGCCGTTACCTCTGCCCCACTCAAATAGTGAAAAAAAAAAACACTCTTTCCCACTTATCTCAAGCAAGAGGGTCCGAGGAACTGAAATATATCAAGTATTATCCATCCAATCTGGCCCTTAGTAATGCATGTAGTAATGCATGAACACAAGTTTAGAAATGCCAGGTCTTTCTCTTCAAAAGTTCAAATAGGAAACTAGCAAATAACAACAGCTGCAAAACAATCAAAACAAGAAAATGGAAACCTGCATTTATAGAAGCATGCCCAATGCACAGTTAGGAAACATCAGCACAAAACTAGGTTGTTTTTCTATTTGAAGAGTTCAAGTAGGATTACACTTATAGAATGCAAAACTAACACAGTATCATGTAGCTTTTCCCTTTACGCCTTTTCTACAATCATTTTGTGTTGGGTGCAGTTAGCATACAGATGC